GTGAATTATTGAAACATTTACGAATAAGATTGGGTATGATGAGGGATATAGTATTGTATTGTTTATGAAACTTTTTTATGAATTGCGACGAACAGGAGGGATCTGAAATGAAATCCGAAGATTGCTTTATCGTTACCATTACAAATTTGCGAATCGCTTTGATAAGCGTTGTTGTCATGTCCTGTCAAATAACCTGAAATTAATTTCGGGTCGCACACGGCGTTTCACATTCAGCGAAGCTCTATCCGAACTCGTATCTGGTCCACGTGCTAATAGGTACAGCAAAGGGTGCTGGATCAGGCATCCTAAGAACTTTCGAACAGGTTCCTTTATTGTGTCTTTTCATTCATTCATCTTTTTAGCATTATGTTTACTGTTATGTAATGACAGATAATATTGTAACAGATGTGGGTATTACTGCCCGATAACTTTCTATCATACCTAATATGTTAAATGATGAAAATAACTGCAGTTAGTTCGGGGTGTTTGGATGCCAGGCCATAATGAGTTACTGCGACCAACATTCGCCACGAAAGCATGCCTCACGGCCGCGATTGTTTTCACGCTGGACAAACACTCTTACTACATATCCGCACCACATGATATCGTTTACCTTGTTCGTTTTCCTTATCATTCGCTTATCATATCGTTATCAGTAGTATCAGCACCTGCTTATCAGTACTTATCACTATCAGTAGCTTATCAGTCATGATTAGCAGTTGCTATTTATCATTGACGTCATTCATTATCAATTGTTGTTGTGTTTCAACTTAGCGTTCGTATAATATGAACTCAATTGAAGGGCGTCGTCGGCTTCTTCGTATATTTCAAGTTGAGTGCCATACTACTGAACGTTCAAGATCCTTTTGCACCATTCGAGAATCTATTTTGTGCGGTATTCATGGGTGGAATCTGGGATGCGATGTCGAGGTGACACTACAAAACTTTTTGAAATTCCATCGCATGTTACATTCTAATTACCTGGATTACCTGGATTAGCCAGGCTATCAAACGTTTGTAACGTTGCTGGCCACAATGCTCGTGTTTCCGTGCACATTGTTTTAGCCTTGATTTAATCTAATTACATTCGAATATTCTGATTAATTCACATGAAGGAATTTGTTTATTCATATTGAAATTTGTTTCACATTTCAGAGCGATAACGGCCAG